GGGGTGGAGGGCTTGGGACCAGCCAGCTCTGCTGGTGGCACCTCAGCTGTAGGAGTTTCATGGAGGTTCTGCTACAGGAACATGCACAAGTGGATCACGGATGAGGAAAAGAGGGTATTTTGGAAGCTGTCGTAGTTCTCCCAGCTCCTCCCTGCTGTGGAGCAGGGAGAATTCCTTGAGAGCTCTGCTCCTCACAGCACACTTGACCCAAATGTCCAGAGCTCCAGCCAGGGAGATGGAAGAATGTTCTGTAAACAAGGAGAGAGTCAATGTCTGTTTTCAGGGGGTAGTTTGAGGGGAGGAAACAGGAAGAGATTTGCTCAGGGCTGTCCTGACTAGTGAGTGTGCTTTCCTCCTCTGGCAGCACCTCATGAGGAAAGGGCTGGGATGTCCAACAGCAGTTCCATCAGCCAGTTCCTCCTCCTGGCATTCGCAGACAGGCGGGAGCTGCAGCTCCTGCACTTCTGGCTCTTCCTGGGCATCTACCTGGCTGCCCTCCTGGGCAACGGCCTCATCATCACCACCATCGCCTGGGACCACCACCTCCACACCCCCATGTACTTCTTCCTGCTCAACCTCTCCCTCCTCGACCTGGGCTGCATCTCCACCACCCTCCCCAAAACCACGGCCAATCTCCTGTGGAACACCAGGGCCATCTCCTACTCAGGATGTGCTGTACAGCTGTTTCTATTTATTTTCTTCCTTGGAGCAGAGTGGTCTCTTCTTGTTGTCATGTCCTACGACCGCTACGTGGCCATCTGCAGACCCCTGCACTACGGGACCCTCCTGGGCAGCAGAGCTTGTGTCCACATGGCAGCAGTTTCCTGGGCCACTGGGTTTCTCACTGCTCTGCTGCACACAGCCAGTACATTTTCCCTGCCCCTCTGCCAGGGCAATGCCCTGGGACAGTTCTTCTGTGAAATTCCCCACATCCTCAAGCTCTCCTGCTCACACTCCTACCTCAGGGAAATTGGGCTTATTGTACTTAATGCTTGTTTATTCTTTCTGAGCTTTGTTTTTGTGGTGGTGTCCTATGTGCAGATCTTCAGGGCTGTGCTGAGGATCCCCTCTCAGCAGGGAAGGCACAAAGCCTTTTCCACCTGTCTCCCTCACCTGGCTGTGGTCTCACTGTTTGTCACCACCATCATGTTTTCCTACCTGAAGCCTCCTTCCATCTCTTCCCCATCCCTGGACCTGGTGGTGGCTGTTCTGTACTCAGTGATGCCTCCTGCATTGAACCCCTTCATCTACAGCATGAGGAACAAGGAGCTCAAGGACGCCCTCAGGAAAATATTTGAATAGGGTCTACTTCAATCTAGTAATTTCCATGTTATTCCACTAGGGCTCCCACTGTACCTCAGGATTAACTAGGACTATATTTTCTTCTTCTATGTATTTATTTTTCCTTTGAGATTTTCATTCATTCATTTACCCATTGATTTGTTGATTCATTAATTTATTTTTTCTTTCATAGCTACATACTATCATGCTTTGTGTACTTTCTTTTTCCTGTCTCTACTCCTTATGTACACGTATCTGGGCTGCCACACACTCAATGAAACATTCAATGAACACACTCAATGTGTGTTCACACTCAATGACACACTCAAAGAAAGAACAAGTGGAAGATTATTGCTCTCAACTCCAACCTCTTCACATCTCTTCTGTATCTGAGGAGCTGCCCCAGCAGGTAGGAGGGGTTCAGGAGGTAAATGCCCAGCTGTCCTGTTTTGAGACAGGATGAAGCCAATTTTCTTTTTGCTGATTTCTTTTTCCTTCAGCAAGCTTTCTCTTAATTAGTAGCAAAGTCTTCCAGCTTGGAATGATAACAAATGCTGGAATGTTTTTTAAATTGCTGGGATTCCAAGGTCATGTCTTTGCTCTGACGCTACAGGGAGATCTCTGACCCCCCCGCCGGAGGCTGAGTTAGACAGACAGCAAAACTGGCCACAGATATTCCATTCCATAGAGCTCAGAGGAAGAACAGAGATCACACAAGACAACTTCCTTCCTGCTTCTTCTTCCCTTCTCCTCCACCCATGGCCGGCGCCCGCGGAGGACTCCGTCCATCCCTCACTGGGGACCCCCAGGCTCCGGCTGTCCTGACCCTCATCACTCTGCGCTTTCTCCAGCAGCACTTTGGGATGTTTTGGGACTGTTTGCAGCTCAGGAGATGCTGTGGGAGTTGCTGGGGTGGGGGGAGGCGAGAGGCTTTTGCACATTCCTGAATACATTTGTATATAATTCTACATATTTTATTTTGTCGTTAGTGTTTAATTAAAGCTGTGAAGTTTAGTTTTCAATCCAGCAAAGTCTCTCTCCCTCATTCTCTCTCCTTCCCTACCTGGGTGGGAGGGGATTGAGAGCTTTGTTGTCTCTGGTTCAATTGCTGATCCTGAGTCAAACCGTGAAAACTCTGTGTGTGGGTTTTGGCAGCAGAGCTGGGGATATTGGAATCAAAGACTCATGGAGTGGTTTGGGTTAGAAGGGACGTAAAGGAGCACCTAGTCCAACTTTCCTGCTATGACAGGGACATCTCTCACAAGTTCAGGTTGCTCAAACTTCCTGGCATTTGGCACTTCCAGGGATGGGGAACCCCTTCTCTGCGCACCCACGTCTCTGGTAACCTGTTCCAGTGTCTTATCACCTTCATCCTAACAGATTTCTTACTTATATCCACTCTTAATCTCCCCTCTTTCAGTCTGAAGCCTTTCCCCCTTATTGTCCCACTACATGCCTCAGTAGTCTCATGCAGCGATTGAGAGACTGGACACAGGTTGATGCAAGCAAATGTCATTTATTTTATACACAGGCTGCCTTTTATACACATTTTCACTGTCCACATGAATCCTGTTTCTGTTTCATTGGTTCCTTTAACCTGTTCATGTGCCAGTTGTGATCCAAGCATAGCTCCTCATTGGTTGCTTTTGTCAAAATGCTACTTTTTTAGCTAAGCTCAAGCTCCCTTATCTAAATTCAGGCTTAGCACATTCCTCTGCTAACACAGCCTTAGTTAGATGTATTGTGGCTCCTACATAGCTGCATTCTATTCCCATGGTTTACGACCTACAAGGGCCAGAATATCTCCTCCCATTAATTGAGCAGTGCTCTGAGTTTTGCTCCCCAGGTGAAGAAGAAACCTTCATCTCCCCCTTTCTGTTGTACAAAAAGAACCTTCTTCACTGAGTTCATAATTAACTTTTGTAAACACTGTAACGTACAGGGCAAGAAGACCAGTAAAAGAATAAAAACAGCTAAAGCATATACAATGGTTTTCACCAACCTCCTAACCCAGCCTGTCAGCCCCCAACCCCAAAAGTTTGTCCAATCAATCCCAGTTATCCTCTTCCCAGAGTTTTGAAACCTCGTCCTTTAGCCGCTGGATGCTGGCATGTGTAGCTTCCGAATGGTCAGACAGGTTCATGCAACACACACCTTCAAAATCTTCACAGCCGTGTCCTTGTGCTAAAAGCAAGAAATCTATAACAGCTCTATTTTGCAGTGCAGCATGGCAAGCACTGTCAACATCTAACAAAAGACCAGACAATGCTTCGCTAGTAGCATTAGTTTGTTTAGCCAGCCAGCACCCAAGCTTATTTAAAAGCCCTAATGCCTTTGCAGCTGTAACTCCTGGTTACGGAGGTTGCGGCCCCGCGTTGGCCCCGAGACCAAAACTTCAAGTTATCATCCCATTCAGGGGTAAAGCGTGAATGCCACGTTTCCTTCCATGAGGAAAACACTGCTGTAAAAAAAAGGCGTTAGTAGGGAAGGGCGCCCAAACTACAGGGACCTCCTTTTATGTAAGAAGGGATGGCAGAATGGAGAAGGGATGGAGAATAAGCAATCAGGGCACCGAGTATGTAAATAGCACTCACACCTGGTCCTTGTCACATGCACAGTTCTTGGGCTCCCAGGACATAGCAAATCACACACCAAAATTTTAGTGTTCTGTTTTTTGTCAACATTCACAGCGCTGCTCACAACAAGCCCTGGCCCTTAGCTGGTCTCATATACTTTTATCTAATTCTTCAGAGATAGAGGAGGTCTTTTTTCTTTTCCCATGGCTATTTTCCACATCTCCCCACTGCCAGCCAGTCAGTTCCTGAGAAGTGACCTCACAGTCATCACCCAAGGGGACACCAAGTTCTGCTGTGCTGGAGGGGGCCCCACTCACCCAGCCCAGCTTCATCCACAGAGGAGCTGGAAGTGAGTTTTGTCCCACCATACAGGGGGTTATCAAAGACATTTACCACTGCTGGCTCAAGTGCTGGTCCCTGAGGCTCAGTCAGGAGGACTTTGAAACACTGATGACATTTGGGCCTAATCACCTGGTGAGCTTCCCACCCACACCATCACCCACTCCTTCATCCAGGTCTCATCAGTCTGGCAATAACAGGACAATGGTAGACCATGGCCAAGGGCTTGCTAAAGGCCACGGGCACAACATGCCCTTCTTGTCCCTGCCCACTCTGCTTTAGCAATCCCTTTGTCCTTCAGCTGCCTGGGGCAGGATGTAGGAGCACTGGCCCCATCACCTTCACAGGGGCTCAGGTGATGCTGACCAGCCTGTCATTCTCCCCATCTTCCTTCCAGTTTTCTGCATGAAGGGTTTGATGTCTCTTTTTCCAAGTGCTCAGGAAACTTTCTGATGCCTCCAAGGCATCTCTCTCCAAGGTGAGAGAGACCTCACAAGGACACCAGAGCCTGCTCTTGTTGCTCCTGCCTGTCCCAGAAGCCTGGCTGAGCCAGGAACACGCCGCTGTGCCTCCACCCTGCACACTCACACACTTGAGCTGTGCCCTGGTGCTTTCCTCTCGGGGACTCTGCCCCGCCCAGCCCAGCTCTTCCCCAGCTCTCCCAGCTCCACCTCTCCCTGCAGCCCAGTCTGGGCAGGCCCTGCAGAGTGAAATGCAGGAAATGGAGCACAGTGGCAGGGACTCTCCATCTGGCAGGCTCAGCAGATCAGCAGCTCAGGAAGCCTACAGCCCCAGGACCAGCCCTGCTCCCTCCCTCCAATCTCCCATCTCTCTCATCCAGTCTCCTCCTGGCCTCCCGAGAGCTCAGAGTGAGTCCAGAGGAGGCCACAAAGATGATCCAAGGGCTGGAGGAGCAGAGCTCTCAAGGAATTCTCCCTGCTCCACAGCAGGGAGGGAGCTGGGAAAAGCATGACAGCTTCACAAATACCCTCTTTTCCTCATCTGTGATCCACTTGTGCATATTCC